CGTCAGGAGGCATTCGGCATTAAGCGGCGAGATTTAGAAGCCCCGTTCCCCTTCCCCGGATATAAATATGTGTTTAATGTGTCGTATTGCGCGCTCACGAGCACACGGTTCGAATGGTGGCATTGCGGCCTGCGCTGTTAAACCTGCAGTTTATAGCGCGAGGCCCGGTGGTAGATTTTGGAGTGCGTATTGCGAAGCCCGGTCTGGAGGAGACCCGTTGCTACGATTAATCTTCACCTCGAACACTTCTTCTCCCCAGGTCCTTTCTCCTCCGGGTCGCTTCGCATATCGCACAAAGGTCTTCCCGCCTCCCTTCAGCTCACTCCATCTCTCCCCGTGTCACCCCTTTTGGAGATGCCGCGAGCGCGGCGGGTGGGGGAGGGAGTTGTGGAGAATTGATCTGGTGGAGAGGGCAAGTTGGAGATTGGCGAAAATAGGGCCGGACGGGGCGTAGAGAGAATGTGTGTGTATAGAGTGGGAGAGGGGGGTGTGGGGTGTAGAGTGGAGGAGAGGCATGGGAGAGGTAGTTATGGAGAATTGAGCGAATGAAGAACGCAGGCCAGAAGATTCGTGAAAATGTATTGAACGGAGATGAGTCGGATAGGGAGGTGGAGATGTAGGGATGTGGTGATGAGGTAGGTGACGGGCCGAGAAGAGGGGAGCAGAGGGTGCAGGTGCAAGTGGATAGCTAAGTGAACGGCGCCGGTGAAGGGTGGGGGCGACGCGGCGGCAGGCAGCGAAAGAGGCCGAAAGTAAACATCCGCATAGCTGCGCGATGTGCGCCGGGAGCCTACGTAAATCGCAGCGCGTCGTATCTCGCGGAGGCCTTAATCGCCGTATCCGGAGGCCGCGCCGATACCGCAGGCCCACCCGGCCCACCCCGCCCACCCGCCCACCCCGCCCACCCCGCCCACCCGCCCACACCGCCCACACCGCCACACCGCCTCGCTCACCTTGAGTGCGGCTCCGGTGTGCGCAGATCCCTGTAGCGTCAGGCACTCGGCGAAAAATGCCTTCGAATTCACAGGGTGGCAACTTTCTGGAAAACAGAAAAAAACGGGAAATTTCATTGCTCTCAAAAAATCAGAGCATTTATTTGTGGAAGAATCGTTTCAAGGCACGGAAAATTTTGAGTGGGTTATAAAACCAGATATTATTTCTTAAAACCTTTGTGCAGCGTTATTTTTCCTCAATTTCGTGAAAAAAATATTGTCAATTTATGTCACGGCGAGATCAGTGTTATGACTAATCTGTAATATTATCTTTGAATATTATGAAATAGAATTCCTATGAGGGGAAAAAACACTGGAAAACCAGAAAAAGTCAGAGAAATTTGTTCCAAGAAATGAGTGGGCACCCTCGGTACTGCGGGGTCCCCTTGAACAAAATCGGTTTGGCCCTCTGTGGAAAAGTAATCTTCCGATTTACTGCAAAGCACTTATAATAGAATAATGTTTTTATGCATAAAACTATTTGATTAAGTTATTTTACTGGTAACCACTTACTTTATGACTTTTATAATTTTTGTTTGAGCGCGGTTATAAATGGGGACATTGGGCTAAGCAACTGCATTTTTGCCTAGATAAATATGGCCCTACGTTTCAAATCCATATCTGAAGTTCCGAGAGCGGCAGATCCTACGTTGGTGGATTTTGAACACCAACTCAATTGCCGAGTCGTGACTTGGTTCGAAATTGCAGGTAGGCGGGAGGGGGAATTGTAGATTGCCATCATTTCTCCTTCCCATAGTGCCCTTCGACGGATTCCAGACGGATGTCACAGCAGAACCGTAAGCAACCAGTTTTGACCGTTCGCGATCCTTCCTCATAGTGTTCCATCTTCATAATTTGGTTCGGGCGAATGCTACTTTCTTCCACTTATGGCTCATCCATGATAAAGAAAGTCATCCGCATGAAAAAACGTAGATATCGAAAGTCTCAGATGCAGCTCTCGGGCCATTGTAATCAGAATGCTGTGGGGTAAGAAAAGAATGGGGGAATTAGTCAAAATAGGAATTACTTCCTAAATTGGTCGTAAGTTGCTTATGTTCAAAGAAGTTATTTTCAAAAAGTTATCAAAGGTCTGAGTACTTTACAATTTTAATTACAACCAAAAAGCTGAAATCAACCTGCCAAGTCCTCTGTTTCCCCTGCCTCCTATGCCACCTCTGCCCACAAAATATTGATGTCTATGTGTAGGTGTGTACGTATGTTCCAAAACCTTAGAACCATTTCAAATTTAAACTGTCAAAGTTAACACGAATTTGGGAAGCTGTAGTAAAAGAAAGGCGGTTTGGAGATCCGAATCTGTCACCCCAAATTTGGTAACATCCAAAAACGTTTGCAACTAGAAATGATGCACCTCACCATGCATTTCCTCCGGACGTAATGGGCGCAGTGGTCGGACAGTGCTGGGCGATCAGGGCTGCGTGACAGAAACTTCTGAAAAATAAATACCCGAATAACGCGTAGTAAAAAAACTTTTTTTTGTTATTTTAAGTCGCATCAACATCTAGGTCATTAGCGACCACTGTTATATTTAACGTTGTAGTTACTGTGAAGATGGCATATGGTGATAATAGGGAGTGAATGGACGCTCACAAATACAACCATACCCGAGGAGGGACTCAAATACGCGATCCTTCGTTTCGAGATCGCTAGGGCACCAATGCCTTAACGATCTCGGCCATTCGGATCGGTCAAAATTCTTTCGTTTAATTTTTTTATATCAACGTATCTTGGAGAGTGCTTGGACGCGGCCTTCGGGAGATTAGAGATGGGGCAGAATGGGTACTGTGCTGGTTGACCTTGGGCAGACCGGCCCTTGCAGCGCCTCCCCTCCTTCTCCTCCCACTAGCCTCTCGGAGTCGCTCGCGCAGCAAGCTGATAATTGAGGAGGCGTTCCGCCGAAAGAGTTTGTCAACACGGGGCAACAGGTAAGGGGCGCGGAGAGCCGGGCGGGGGCAGGCCTAGGCAGCAGGCCAGGAGCGCGGGTGCGTGCACGTGCGCAGAAAATCAGCGCTGAGGATTTGAGAACCTTCCCCTCACACCCGGCTTATTCGACTGGGCGTCGCCTTGCGTTTCCTGTAGGAAGATATTTTCACTTTCGTTGTTTTCTACTGGCTGAGATAGCTGAATGTCACAGCGTCTCCGACAGGGAGTTCCTGGGTTCAACTTTCGAAGGTGACGAATTTCGACACGAGCTCTAAGTAGATCGAATGCAGCCGTAAGAGAATTCTAGCGGTTCTTTGTTCTAATCTCTAGATTCCCGTGCTTCTCCTATAAATATTCGATAAGTGTCTGGACAGGACCCTAAAAAGTGCCCTGATGTGTGTTAATTTACTTCCATGATTGAGTTAACTCTTTTATCTTCTCTAAACAGTCCTATACCATATCTATTTTGCAATCCAACTTGTAAAAGGAGTACTTGATTTGATATCTTCTCATGATAACTAGTATTTCGTAGGTACACCTGACCAGGTAATTGTATTGAAAATTGTGTACATTCTAATGAAAAGGTCACTGACAATGACAGAGTAATTACGCGAGTCAACCACCGGTCGCTTCACATGGGTTGTCGCGACCTTGAAATAAACTGAATTTCGCCTGATGTCAACCACCATCCCAAGTGTACCCAGAGTGAACTTAGGTGTAGTACGAACGGAAAGCCATTGCGTCTTTAGCCGAACCAGCCCTGCCGCTGGCCTGAGCGCGTTGATCTCGCCGCCCCTACCGTAAGGGCCACGCCCACATGTTTCGAGGGGAACTACAACAGGGTGGCCACTCTCTGGAATACATGTAAACCGGAAAAAATCAGGGAATTTCATTGCTCTGGAAAACTTGGGTAAAAATCAGGGAATTTGTAGAAGAAATGTTAGAAGTCAGAGGTATTGAGGGACTATTATATCACTAGATATTTAAAAAATAGTTTACAAGAAATAAAGGCTCAATTTTCATTGGTTGAGTATGTTTTTCATTTGTAAATTATCACGGAGAATCAGTAATAAAATAGGTCTGGCAAATTAGTTTAAGATTTTCTTTAATGTTTTTTTAATGGGAAAGGCTGCATATATTATCAGTGTAAAAAACGCTTTGGAAAATCGGGAAAACTCACATGAGAGTTTCATTGTGTGTTGAGAATTTGTATGTCACAATTGATACATTTGCACATCACGATAGTTTGCGAAGTGCAAGTTGATGAAGCAAGGAATAACACTTGGTACAACTGCTAGTACTGCTGATCCAGAATGTAACTACGAAAGTAAGAAGTGAACAGCTAGACTATACCGAGTGGGCTACCTCCAAAACTTCTAAAGTGTTCCCAATATCGAATTTCAGTTTGCGCTCAACAATGGGCAATCACGGGGCAAATAATACTCTGTACAGGCATTGTGTGCAATATTTTTAGTTTTCGACAAATTGAATCATCTTTAATTTTTTATTCGCTATATATTTTTTCACTAGCAATGGTTAGATCATAAAAAAGAAATGCTTTGGAATTTCCTTCAGTAAACGCTCAATTCTGATGAATCAATGGAAAAAAAATATCATTCTGATAGTTCTTGTGCCCTTCGTGCCAAGACTATCGGTTGTTGAATTCGCCGTGAAGGCCACTTTCTCCACAGCCGCAAGACTTACTAAAGGAAATATTGTCAGTTTTAATTTAAACTCACGTGTCAGAAAGTCTAATTTTATACTCAACCTGCCAAAACATTAACAGTGATGCATATTGTATTCCTCTCTTCATATATCTTTTCATTGCTAGTGAGAATAATGAACAAATTTCCACTTAAAAAATCAAATATTAGTCAATTTCTTGAAAACTATAGATATTTCAAACAATATTTCTACGCAGTATTACATGCTCCACTATTTCGCGTTAGTGAGAGAAATCTCACTTTGATATCGTGAAATGTTTATAAGTTACGGAAGTGTCCCATTGTTGCTGCGGCACCCGGTAGATTCGCATTTGTTTTTTTTTTTTTTGTTTTTTTTGCTTAGGTTTGGTTTGTGCGTGCGTGTGTGCATGCATGTAGAGTCTTGCTCATAAAAAAATAGAACCGTTCCCAACGAGTTTATTAAATTCCACACATTTTTCCCATCCTATACATCTACATGCATATACATGTCCTGAACTTCTGCAGCAGAATCATCTTTTATTCACTCTATATTTGTTTGCGGGTACTGTATTACTGCCAAGTGCAGCTCTTTCTATCCAGGGAGTAATTAGTACGTAGAAATCGCCCTCCGAGGCTGCTCTCTGGGAGCAAAATCGTCGAAATGTTTTCGTTTGTCTGAAAATTAAATTTATTTTTACTTGTTCGTTTTCCACATTTTTTTTTTTCAAGAAGGATTTATTAACAGGCTGTTCGTGGTGCCTGTTTAACACAGTGAATCGAATTTGCGATCTCTGATGAGTAAACAACCTCAATTTGCAATACTGACGTAATACACATTTTAAACAGATGTACTTTTCAAGATGGATTTTTTTAATCTGTCATATTTTTGTAGTGTTTTTTTTTAAATATTAGAAACATTTAACTTTTAGTACTTGCTGTATTTTTTCGTACGACATTTTCAATATCGATTTATTGCTAATGATAAAACCACATTAAAATACCAATTAATATTTCGTTATTGTCTTAAAACAAAAGTAATTTTGTTTAAAATGTTTCTTAATTAGAGCTATTTAAAATAAATCTGCATTATCTCCAAAACAATCAAAGATAGTGGCATCTGGTCTTTATTAATATATTAATAAGAATTATGAACAATGTTTAGTTACTCGCTACAAATTATTTGAAGATCTTGCAGTAGACGTAAAGTGTTCCTACATAAGTGATTACCACTACTACTATTGGTACTGTCTATATTTTAGATTAGAAAGGTATTTTGCCGGTCTGGATGTCCGAGATCGTTAAGGCAGTAGTGCCGTAGCGATCTCTGGCCGAAGAATCCCACCTCTGGGATGGTTGTCCTTTCACCCCCTCTCATCACCATTTGTCATCTTCACAGTTACCATACGTTAAATGAAATACTGGTCGCTAATGACCTAGATGTTGATGCGACCGAAAAATAACAACAAAAAAAGTGTTTGTTTTCAACTTCTACATTGACTGCGAGTTTGACTTTTCACTAAGTTCTCATTACACAGGAAGCAAATAATGAGATGAAACCTGTCCTTCCAGCCTGCCTAAGCCGCTAGAAATAAAATTTCCTTGTTGATTTGTATAACATATAACGGGTTAACGGTCGTAACTAGATCAAAGACAACGTCCGGTACCCAAATTGTTTGATCAGATTCTGTGTTTTCGGTTTTCTCCCCCCATTTTTCTAAAGTGATTATTGTGGATGCAGCTGTCAATTCCCCGTTTAAGAAAGCATTCAAAATTGACATTAAAACTATTGTACCAAAATTAGAAACCGCATCGCTTTTTCGTATTTGTTCCGAGTTGTTCATCAACTGAACATAAGTCTTTGACGAAAGTATACTAGTGCGACTTGTTCGTAGGGTGTTTAAAACTGTCCGTTAGTCGCTCGCTCTTTTACTTCATTGTACATTTGAATAGAAACAGAACGTGAAAAAGAAACCAGGACATCGCTTGAATCGTTTGAAATAACATTCCGGTTTCGTTTAATAATAACATATCTGTAGATATTTTTGGTAACAAACTATTTCAACTGTGTGTGTCTAGCTTGGATTATGAACGGAAATAGTTAAAATATTTTTTAAAATATTTCATTAAGTAATTTGGAAATTAATGGCAATGTTGTGGGACGATACATAGAAGTTATAAGGGAGTGCTTTCTCAATCACAACAAAACCTATATAATTTAAACCAAAAACATAACAAAATGTCTGCTCTCTGAAAACGTATGTTCTTTATAGATGTTGTTTATTCTATATATGTAAGTTGTAAATATGTTGTTTAATCTATATATGTGTATGTAAGATATGTTGTTTATTCTGTATATCACTTCTCGGCATGTGAAACCAGTATACAGGCGCCATACCATACCAGCATACCAGCAGCAAGTTACAGGAACTAATGAAACACTTTCACAATAAAAACAAGAACAGTTTCTGTCAATTCTAGTTCTGCATTTGAAACAAAAAAGAAACGTTTTCACTATACAAACAGTTTTTAATGATTTCGGTTATACTAGTTTGGGTTTAATGGTTTGACAGAATCGCGTTTTTAGGCAGCAAGATGCGGGATCCACCCACTGGAGGCGCGGATCGCTCTCCGCGTGCTGGGGGAGGGGGGGAGGGTGCGGCAAAGTAGCGCCATTGTTGCCAGATGCTTTGGAGAGGGCTTTAACGACAGCGCCTCCGACGCGCGCAAGAAAATAAAAGAGGAGCGCAACGGGGGAACGACGAGTGTTTCACGGCGCGTAATACATTTTTCTCGTTCGAAATTTGACTTTTACGAGGCGTCGCATATGGCCATTGGATATTGCAAAGCGGGGCGGACGGCAGCGCGGCGTGCGGACGGGTGGGAGGGCTTGAAGCGGGCCGTTCTCGCACGTGCCTACGCTACTCTCAAAAGATAAAACAACACAGATGATTTCTAGGATTAAATCGGTTTTAGTAAATGTTAAAGTCTTTGTTTCGAGGTCACATGTTGTGTTGGACAAAACTGAAGAGTCTTTGTGAAATGAGAATAAACCTCTTTTGAATTTTTTTTATTGTCATGATGTATATTTTAGCCCTGAATATGCTGTACTTCAACGAGTTTTGAACTGAAAACAGCAAATGGAAATACGAATTTCTCTGCATAAATGACAATAATTCCGATACAAATTTTTAGGTGTGTCTCGAAAGTTTCTGAAGAACAAATGTAAGTTGAACTGCGAAGTACGATGAATAAGAGACGTGAAAGATGAAGATCAGTGACAGAGAAACGGCAAAGATTTAACAAAAATAATTTAAGACATGAGAAATACAGAAATGTGTATTCACTTCAATCCTGGTGGACTTTAAAATGGGCAGACCAAGACAGCACGGATTACGTCCAGTACTGTATACTGTAAATGGTAATGGGTTAGAATCCCGCCTAACTCACTAATTTGTATTTTCTAATTTTAGATAAATCAAAACGTTTAATAATGATAGTGTAATTGATCGTTTATGAAGATAATTCCCAGCGTGTTTTGGAACTCATTTAATAATTTTCCAAGGGAACAAAACACCAGAACTCTTGTATTTAGTCATTCGCATCGAGTGAAAAATATGGCAATAGATTGCAGTTGGTGATCGATGTTCGAACAGTCGACTTGCGCAAAATATTATTCAGATAAGGAACTCCAAAGAAAAAACTAAAACAAATAACACAGTGTTGTCAGTTGAATTTTACTTCCATTCATTAGTGCTCTCTGAAACGAGTGTTTGATAGTAGTTGTCTACAAAACTAATGCTAAAAATCATGCAGTAGGCAGAAAAAAACAATTGAATTTTCGAAATTCTATAATGTGTCAGTAACAAAACTGAATATGACCAATAATTCAAAACAAGCATGCATATAGTTTAAATGTATTTTTAATTATATTAAAAAAACACAGTAAGAAATTATATATAAATATTTATTTTTGTAGTCTCCTCATCGAGTTAATTTAATTCCCATAAAATCTAAATCTACTCGCATAAGACTAACGCCAATCACGCCCATCTCATACGTTAATGAGCACAGCGCTTGCACCTACCCAAGACGTCCCGGGGCGAGGAGGATTAGGAAGGAGGAAGGAGAGGCGTAGAGGGCCAGGTAGGAACGGAGTAGGCGAGGAGGAACGATGAAAAAGGGGCGGGGGGGGAGGCGAGGCGGGCGAGGAGGAATGGGAAGGAGGAGGAAGAGGTGAGGAGGGGGGAGGCGGGTGTGGAGGACTACGAAGGAGCTGCTGGGTGAGGGAGGTGGTTGAGGATGGGGAGAATAAAAAGGGGGCGGGGCGGTCGGGTAGCGCGGTGTACATTGTAATGACTGTGTGCGGGGGGGAGGTCGCAGCCTACGTGACGCGGCCGGCGTACGGAGAGCGGGATTGAGGCCGCGGCGGTGGCGGTGGCGGTGGCGGTGGCGGAGGCCTTGCGTGGCGTAACTCGGAGGCTCGCCGCCACCGCCGCCGCCAACAGCGCGACCCCGAGGGTCAGCTCGCGGCTCCCTGCCTCCGCGCCGCCGCCGCCGCCGCCGTCGCCGCCTCCACACACTCGCACACTGGGTCGAAGCGACAGCACATGCGCCCGTTACATTTTCACGCTACAATTTCTTCGACTATTTGTCTCAGTATTGTTGCTTCACTAAACATAGACAATGTGCATGTAATTTTTTGTCGTTGTTTTTTTTAAGTTATTGGTCGCCACTGAACTTTTGTATATTCATGGAATGAGCTGCACGTAATGTATGAATACATATTTTAGACTTTTTTTTCCTCTTCTCTAAACCTCCTTAGAAATAGAGGCATGCTTCTAGTTATATTTATATCAGAGTTTCAGGGCTAGGGACAATCCCTGCATACACATTAAGCAATTCAGTATACCCCGAAAACATTTAATGAGGATGCCTGTTTAGGGTCGAACACGTTCGACAATACTTAAATCAGGAGAATGAATCGTGAGGAAAATGGGAAATCGAGGTAAATAGTGTGAGGAAGATGACGCAGAAGAAGTGAAAAAGCTTCTTAAAATTCTAAAACCTTGAAACGTTTGTGTGCTGTCTTGTTTTATTTTTCTTTATTTTTCTCTTTTTCATTGTTCCATTTTCTTTTTTCTTCTTTCTTTTTTTATTTATTTTTTTCTTTTTTTCTTCTTTTCTATTTTATTTCTCCTTTTTTATATTATATTCTTTTTTCCTTTCTTTTATCCCTTTTCTTTCTTCTTTCTGTGACCCCAGAACCTTGCACGAACCCTGCATATTCTTCTGGAGTCTCTTGAAAGGTATGGGATGAGCCCTTCGAAAATGGAGATTAGAAACCAATAATCGTGCACTGTCAGTGGCCTATTGTTCAAAAGTACAGATTCTGCTTTAGCGTGGAATTCATGTCAGAAATCTGCGGAAACAACCAATCTGCGAGTCATTCTTTTTCTAAATAGGCGCAAATTTTAAAGCAGAGGGTTTTTAATCCCCTGATTTTTCCATAAGCTGAGTGTGTGGTTTGGCCCATGTGGTGGAGGCAGTGGTGCCCCCGCCGCCGCCGTCCCACCTGCGGCGGGAGGCGTGCCAGCGCTGCGGCTGCGCGGCGGTGGTTGTGGTGGGAGGGGAGGATGCCGCTCAGCGTTGCCACGACGGCCGCTTGCAACGATGCTCGGCAATTGGAGCAGGCGGGCGTTCAAGCCGGCCACGAATTGAGCGGATCGAAAGGATGCAGTGGGCGAATTGAAAGTAAATGATACATGTCGCCGAATAATTGTGATCACTGCCTCTATCACAAGCATGGCAAAAGCAATGAGACATTGAAAACAATTGACTGTTAGAACTCGCTCATCTCGCCTCGCTTTGAGATAGAAGAAGTGGTTTGACAGAAGAAGTTCAAAATTCTTTCTTCTTGAACTACTTAATTTTGTAGACAATTAAATATACTTTTCTTTCCGTTTTCGGGTGATGTTTTTCCTCTCGATGCCTGTTACGTTGCTGCTCAATGGTTCCTGGCTGAATGGTGGCTGTCGCTGTTCAGTAGTACGTGGAAGAAGGCAAGTTTATGTAAAAAAAAAAGTAAAAAGTAAGAAGAAATCAATTTATAATTTTGAGAACTGTCAATAGATACTCCACACGTAAAATAAGTGATTATTATTTATTCCTGCAGAGGAAAGTGGGAAAATAACATTTTCTTAACAACTACTAACTAAAATTTAATACAGAAAAATCTTTCAAAAATACTAACACCCCAAAATTTTAAAAATATTTTTTTATGAATAACTAATCAGAAATTAAAACTAAACTTATCTTTCATGAAGCACAGTTGTTTTTTTCTTCAGGAACAAATTTTTTATCTTAAAATCCAAATGAGCAGTAATACTAATACGATGATTACACGAAAACGCTGTAGATCATCACACTTTGATTATCACAAAAACAGTTTCTTAGCCTTGAAGATTTTTTTCTCCCACCAATATTCAACCTGAATAATGACGGTTACGCAATTTTGCCAGGCTATGTGACACGGAGAGACTTTTTAATGCACAAAAAATGTTTTAAAAAGTTCACTATACGGATGTTTTTGTTACGAAATTAATGTTTGTGTTGTACGAACTCGTAGCAAAGAACAATTGAGGGAAGTAATGTCGGTTACTACAGACGGGGGGGGGTTGTTGAGGGAGACTGGATGGAGTTGGAAGGGAATGAATGAATGTGGTCCGTGATTATTAACGTGAAATTTTGTTTTTGAAATGCAATTAGTATCAATTTCAGGATATTGTAAGTTTGCCGAAACCATGAGGAAGGTATTTCAGAAAATTAATCGGTGGGTTTATAGTAAGGAGTAAGACTTTGAAGATATAGAAGGTAAAATTTACGGATTGATTCTGAATTTCTTATTTCAATAATAATACATTTGCTTGTATTTAATTAAAACGCTCTCACATTAAATTGTAAAACGTTCTCACATTAGCTTGTGTTTGAACTTAAAAAGTGTTCATATTCAAATAACCTGGATAGAGAGAGGCCAACGGCCAGCAACGTTTCGTGAATGGCATTGCAGCTGCAGCTGAATTAATTGGCGTTCAAACGATCGCGGCACTCACGTGTGCATATGCTGTTGCTGGAACATTGAGTTCAATAGATTCGTAACAGTTATGCTTATCAAAAGAAATTATTCTGGCTGGATATTGAGAAGGTAATTATGTTGACAAAGATCATGCAAATGTATCCAGACTCTCGTCGCAAATCAGTTTGCTATGGAAAAAGGTGTTCTAATTTTTTTCCACGTTCAACAATATTATTTTTTTACACGTACCTGTGAAGTTAGATTTCTGTAAAGTAGTAAGAAAAGCATCATTTACAGCGTAGTCCGAGAAATCGCTCAACCTAAGTCATGAAAGCATCCTTATATAAGAAACACAAATTCTAAATGAAAACAAATAATCGTAAAGCTGGGAACTGACAATTTCTGTTTCTGCAACTGCAACATCGCCTTCAGTGGTTGAACGAGGTTCTTCACTTCGTTTTTCAGTTCGCGAACTTTGATGACTGTATCATAGTTGTCTCGTTGTGGAGTAAATTGCAATGTAAGTTTTAGATGAGTGTGTAAAAAAATTGTGTGCACCTCTGGTACAAAGTGATTTTTCCAGCGATGTAACAATCGTGGCGGAGTAGAGAGAAGTCGTGGTTGTTAATATTCCGTTATGTCTGATCGGCATGCGAGTGTCGCAGTTGTATTAATGATTGAATATAACATTAAATATGTTGCAACTGATGCCTACTTTTCTTGATTCACATTTTTAACAAACTGTGAATGAAGAACTACAGGCATTAATTGCAACATATTTTATATGGACATATTAAGAATAGATTTTTACTGAATTACATTTTTTATTTATAGTTTCATTAAGAATTTTTGTATTGGGTCTAATGTACTATTTTAACACAGCTTCACACACACATTCAGAAGTTCATTTTTTTCAATTCTTAATTATTATGTGCTACTAAATGTTCATTAATTTCTACCTCCGCCTATGTGACATAGAGCAGAGAGCGTGTGTATGACATTGGAATACCCTTCTACGTGCGTCAGAACCGCGGCCGAAGGAGCGAATCGTAGGCTACGTCACAGGGTACTCGGCACTCACGAGATCTCTGGCCCATTGAGCAAGCGGCGTGGGGGATCTAATTGGCTGCTAAGTGGGGGGCGATCGTTAGCCAGTGCAACCCAGGTGGCTGATCCGGATGGCAGCATGTGATTCCATTGCAGAGCAGGGGTTCCGACGAGAAGATTTCGAGAAAGAAATACTCGGAATAATCTAAAGATTTTTTTTGTCTCGAGCTACGCCAAGGTTGTCAAGAGAATAGATTTCTTGTCTGCGAGACTAACAGGATTTTAAAATAAAAAAAAAATTACAGACTTGAAATATGATTAAATGGTTTTTGTGACACTAATGTACACTTTTGTGACACTTTTTTTTTTTTCACGTAACGTTTTGCATCCTGCACATGTTTGCATTTTCGCATTTTGCCTTTTCTTTGGCAAAAACGCTAAGGATATTGTTTCCTACTTTTTGGAAGGTATTAGAATCCTTCAAGATCAAACGTTTGCCAAATTTCTTATACAGTACAATAAAGGTATCTATCCTCAAAACTCATGTACTTGTTTAACAGTTCCCTCACAAATGTACAAATGTTTCATTCAGAATAAAGAAAACTGCGATATTTAAATGTTTTTTCTACATTTCTTACATTGTCTACATTGCTATTCTATATTTCTATATATCTCTTGACAAATTAGAGACGATAAAACCGTCAGCCTTAACAGGGTCTCGTACAGTTCAGCAGATAAATTATATAAGTTAGTAATCCTTTTTAAAAGTGACTAGTTTATGAGCTCGTCGCTATTACAAAAATTAGAATACATTGAAATTGGGGATGGACTAGACTTGAGATAATTGCAGGCTTATAACGTATGAATGTGGGATACGAG